AAGGCATGGTCGCTGAACATGCTCAACTCGAGTCGCAAAGTTGCAGTCACTCGTCCATATCAATCCTGCAAGGAAAAATCATCAATGGAATCTTACTCCCATCAATAAAGCAGCGATATCAATGTCCAAAAGAGAGACAAAGAAAACGAATTCCTCTCAGTGGTTGCAGAATTTTCAGTACCAGAAGCAGAAGCAAATCAATCCATCAAGCACGTAGAAAAAACCAATCAAAGAAGTCACATGCACTGATTCGATGTCTGCAAACATCATTCCGAAAGTGAGTCAATACAAGCGTTTGCAGAAATACTCTCAATCAAACAGAAAAAGAAGACCATCGTTTAATGGAGCCATAGAGCCATCGTGGATCCCAAGCAATACTGTAATCGACTCATCTGCAATCACCAGATGTCCTCGTCAAACTTGTGTACCACAGACCAAATTTTAAGCACAATACGTGGCACTGTGAGCTTCACGCAATCCAGGATTTCATGATACTCTGTAACAAATCATTCTGCGCACCATAAAAGCAGAACTCGGCGGCAACTGTAAACCACAATTCAGAATGAAGTCCCAATTTGCTCTTCGAAAGTCCAATGTTTACAGATCACTGCCAATGTCCATTGAAAAACCATTCACAATCATTGAAATCACGAGCGCTGATGCAAAAACCAATCCATCCAGAATACATTCCTCAATGTGTTGTGAAAAGAATAAGTCAACAATAGCTGCACATCTGTAATCACCTTCTTGAGCAACCATGCTCCAAAACTGTCGTAATCATCCATCGCAGACGCTGCAATGGGCCAAGAGTATCTTTGCATTCTTTGCAATCTTGAACATCACGCAATGATAGCTCTCATCCAATGGATGTGTGCCATGTCACAGTAAGTGCAGAGGGCAGCGCTTTCTCCAGAGTCTCTTCAATGTGCACAAGGCCTGCCAGTGATGTCCGTGAAGAAAATGTAGCACAGCAATCTCCAACGCCAAAGTGGTCTCCAAGTACTTCAGCTTGTCATGGCAATTTGCAATCATCGGACATAGGCTGCCATCAAGTGTGGCTCCAATCATCCTGCAGAGTATATTACCTGATGTGGCAACATGCTCAATCGCCAAAGCAATACACGAGTCATGGTCTGGCAACGCTGACAGAACAATCTCACGAGCAATGATGTTTTCCATAGAAGGAGCTCCACAAGGAATCAAGCTCCACTCAATAGCAGACGCAATCGTCCACGTTAAGAAGCAAAGGTCTCGAACCGCAGTCTGAACTCACAGACAGTGATCGCCATGCCAAGGCAATCATTCTTCAGGAATCTCCTGCACTGACACCTGTAGATGCAATGACATCTTCATTCAGAACAGTCGGCAGCAATGCCAGCTCAGCTATTCTCTGGAAAAATTGAAACCATGGCGAGCAAGAGGCTACAATGTTGTGTGTTGCTGAATGGACGCAGTCAAAAGAGCAAAGCAAGCGACAAACAAATTCAACTGAGATCAAAACAGTCTCACTGTACAGGTCTTTCTCACTTCAATCATGTATATGTACAACTTCAACACTACCTATGTACAATGGGCTCACTGGAAAACAAGTTCGCTATGTACAATGTTTACAAGCACCAAAACTCTTCGACCTGTGCGCCTCAATGCTTTCGCCTGGCTTGTTTGCAGTTGACAATTGTGGTCGGGCCTGTTTAGGTACCAAGGAAAACAATCGCTTTGCAAACGCGGGTGCGAAGCACCATAAATATTGACAAGCAGGGAGAAACAAACAATCATGCTTAGCATGTCACAATCACAAGACTGCAATGCACCTGAGAACGTGTAGTGCGCGGTCATCATGTCTTGCAAGGCTCAATACCGACAGGAAGCTTCTGGCCGTCAAGAGCTTCGAATACGGAACGAGAAAAGCGACAAGACACTCAACGACACAGAGAACACTCGAAACAATCAAACAACCGTCGTCACTGAGAACCTTCCAAAGCGACAATAGCTTTGAGCAAGGTTCGTGCAATCAGGCACGAATGCCACCACCACAAGTCTGTCATGACTGCAATGACATGTTGACTGTACTGATCTGCTCAATCACATGACCGCAATCACAGCACTCTTGACTGTTCAAGCAAACACTGCCTGCTTCTAACGAAGAACGAAAAGCGCAATCACTGCACATGCTAGGTCCTAGGAAAAGCAACACAGGGAAAAACAGCGGAACAATGAACAAGCACTGCACCGCTGAAGGGCATGACATTTGCAAAGTTGTAAGCAATGCATGAACTTAAGCACGACTGCACAGCTATACAGTCTCCGGTCCCTCAAATGCAAACATGCCTAAGGCAATGGAAAAGAAAAGACCTTATGCCTTATGCAGAAAACTGGTTCTGAGG